CAGCCCAGCGCACGGCCCCCCCCCCGCCCCGACCACTTTATTTCGGCGTCGTCGTCGCCCCCCCCCCTCCCTCCCACTCTCGCCAGCATCCCATCACACCGCCCCCTCCGCCCCGATCGCCTTATTCTCTTGCACAGCTGTGCTCTAGAGCTCGGACATCTTTATTTTCGTCGTTCGTCGTGTCGTTCGCCCCCCTCGCTCCCCCCCTGTCCACGCTTCCCAGGGTAGCCCCCCTGGGCCACGGAACCCTTTATTTTCGTCGTTCGTCGCGTCGTTCGCCCCCCTCGCCCCCCCCCCGCCCCCCTCGCCCCCCCCCTGTCCACGCTTCCCAGGGTGCCCCTCGCCCCCTCCCCTGTCCACGCTTCCCAGGGTAGCCCCCCTGGGCCACGGAACCCTTTACTTTCGTCGTTCGTCGCGTCGTTCGTCCCCCTCGCCCCCCCCCCCGTCCCCCTCGCCCCCCCCCCTGTCCACGCTTCCCAGGGTAGCCCCCCGGCTCTCGGGGAACCACTGAGGCACTCTTTGGCCGAGGCCTAGAAACAAAACCAGGCCAGGCCCCAGAAATCGGCGTCGTCGTCGTCCTCCTCCGCTTTCTTCCTGGATCCTCCTAAACCCCTCCTGGAGGAAGGAGGCGAGGGCCTCCTGTCCTTCGCAGCTCCTTTGTGCAAGAGCCAGGGCACGCGTGCCACTTGTTTAGAAGGAAAAGGGATAGGAGAAGCAGGAGCTGGAGGAGGAGGAAGAGGAGGAGGAGGAGGAGGAGGAGGAGGAGGAGGAGGAGGAGGAGGAGGAGGAGACCGAGGAGGACAACAATGAGGAGGAGGAGGAGGGGGAGGAGAAGGAGGAGGAGGAGACCTCTTGTAAGCCTTTTCTGGGGCTCTTGGGGCCTCTTCAGGCTTCATGGCGGCCTCTCTGCCATCCGTGACCGTCTTGGAGGCATCTTGGGGCCATCTTAGGTCAGACGGGGTCATCTTCGCAGTTTTTGAGGGCATCTTGGATCGGCTTGACGGCAATGCGGCGCCGTCTTCACCATCTGGGAGGCGAGCGTGGTTTTCTCTTGGAAAATTCAGTGGGGCTCTCTTAGGGCGTTCGGGCGATTTCAGGCCCCTCTTGGATTATCTAGTGCCCCGCTGCCCATCCCACCACTGCGCCTAAATATGATACTGTTGGGGACCTTTCGGGAACCATCTTGGAGCTCTCTTGGAGGCGTCTGAGGCTTGAAGAGGGGCCTCCAAGGGCACTCAGAGGCTTTGAAAGGCTTAAGAGGGCCCCATAAGGGCTCCGAAACAGACTGTAACAAAGTCATACCAAAGGTTCGTGGTAAGGTATTGTTGAGGGCTTGCTTGGAGTTCTGTGGTGGCCCTCTGGGGGCTGTATTGGGACGCTCGGGCGATTTCAGGCCCCTCTTAGATAATCGAAGACGCCTACGGCGAATCACCGCCGCCCCCTGCCTTTTTGGAAGTGCCTATGTGGCCGAACGTTGAGGCCAGACCTGCCAAGCTATCGGACCATGTGCTCCCCGAATCGGTTTGGAAAGCCCTTGGGGAGCACGTGGGCATCTTGAAGGTCATCTTGGCCGCCTCGATGCCATTTTGACTTTTTCGGGCCTTCTTGCAGGACGTCTTGGAGGGCTCTTGGGCCGTCTTGCAGGCCATCTTGAGCGTCTTGGAGGCCTCTTGGGCCGTCTTGGGGGCCTTTTGGGGCAGTCTGGGGGGGGGGCACTTGGGCCGTCTCGGGCCGTTGTAAGGCCGAAAACAAGCAAATGCCACAATTATTTGAACACTCATGGGACATCAATGAATTGTGCCTTTTCGGGCCTTCTGGAGGCCCTCTTGGAGGCCTCGTGGGCCGTCTTGGGCCATCTTAGTGCCATCTTCGGCCGTCTTGGTGGGCCCCTGGCCCGTCCGACGCCGTCGGAAGCCGTTGAGGGGGCCTCTCTGAGCCGACTTGGGGCCCTCTTGGAATACTCCAGGGTCGTCTTGGAGGCCATCTTGGGCGTCTTAAGAGCCTCCTGGGCCGTCTTCGGAGGCCTCTTGGGGCCGTCTTGGGGGCCCCTTGGGCCGTTCTGGGGCCATCGTGAAGGCATCTTAGGCGATCTTTGGGCGATCTGTGGGGGCTCTTGGGCCGTATTGGGCCGTCGGAAGGCCGAAAAGAAGCAAATGTGAAGATCCTTCAACAAACCTAAGGAACATCAGTGTTTTTGATCTTTTCGGACTTTCCTGGAGGCCCTCTTGGAGGCCTCTTGGGCCGTCTTGGGCCAGCTTCGAGCCCACTTCGGCCATCTTGGTGGGCTCCTGGCCCGTCTGACTCCGTCGGCAGCCGTTTGGGGGGCCTTTCTGGGCTGACTTAGGGCCCTCTTGGGGTGCTCCAGGGCCGTCTTAGAGGCCATCTTGGGCGTTTTGGAGGCCTCTTGGGTCGTCTTTGTGCCCTCTTGGGGCCGTCTTGGGGGCCTCTTGGGCAGTCCTCAAGCCATCTTGGAGGCCTCTTGGGCCCTGTGGGGGCGATCTTGGGGGCCTCTTGGGCCGTCTTGGGTCGTCAAACACCTAAGGGAAACTAATGATGTTGGCCTCTTCGGGTCCTCATGGAGGACCTCTTGGAGGCCTCTTGGGCCGTCTTGGAGGCATCTTGGGGCCATCTTACCCGTCTTGGAGGCCATCTTGGCCGTCTTGGAGGCATCTTGGAGGCCATCTTGGGCCAACGTGGCCATCTTGGAGGCCAACTTGAGCCGTCTTGGAAGACACATTGGGGATTTGGGCTCTGGGCAGTGGCCGGCGGGACGGGCCAAAGCCCCAGGGGGAGTTCTTTTGGAAAAAGAACCAACACCAAAACCGAAAAGGTCTAGCACGCCAGGCACCCCTGCAATGAATCGACAGGGGGCGGCGGATCCAGTGGCCTGCGGCCCATCCCGCCACCTTGCCTGGGTGGGTCAGAATCCTCATGGATGCTTCTCGGGATCTCTTCGGAGAGCTGTCGGAGGCCCCTGGAGGCAGTTTGGAGCCGCTTGGGAGCCTCTTGGGAGCGTTTTGGGACTTCCTGGGGGCCTCCTGGGCCATTGGGGCCTTTCGGTGGCCTCTCGGGAGCCTCTTGGGACCTCCTGGGGACCTCTTGGGGCGGTGAGCTCGAAATGTCGGTTCGTGTTCGCCTTCTGGGGCCCTTCTAGGGGCGTTCTCGGGGCCGTCTGCCGTTCTTCTGGCGACTCCCCAGGCCAGCTTTCCCTTACGACTCATCGTCCGATGATTTTGAGAGACGGAAGTCAGACCTGATCGGGCCCGCGGTGGATCAGAGGGAGACGGGTTCCAGGGATTGGCTCACCAGCCAACGATACCGCAGATGGCACACGGGTCGAGGATGAAGCTCCAGCTCGGATGGGGCAGCAGTGAATACGGTTAGGTCTCGGGCAGAGGTCCCATGGGTTTCAGGCCATTGCCCTTCGCCCATGCCTTCACTCTCTGCGGAAGCCCGAGTCGGTCCTGTCTCTCGTTCTCGCGGCAGCGTCCTGCGAAGCTCGATGACGAACAGGGAGCGCGACCGTGCCACGCCTGAGCTGCCCCCCCCCACCCCGTGCGCGCGGCCATCGGCAAGGTGATCCTGCGGCGCAGGTCGAGCAGGAAGCTCACCACGAGAGCCTCTCTCCGGCGGGGGGGGCGGGGGAGCCGGCGCGCCCGGACCCCAGGCTTTTGACACGCCGTCTCCTCTTGACTAGCCGAGACGAGACATGAGGCCACCTCCTCCTTTCCCCCCCTCCTCCTGCTCCTGCTCCTCCTCCTCCTGTCTCCTGCTCCTCCTCCTCCTGCTCCTCCTCTTCCTCCCTCTCCTCCTCCTCCTCCTCCTCCTGCTCCTGCTCCTCCTCCTCCTCCTCCTCCTCCGCCTCCTCCGCCTCCTCCTGCTCCTCCGCCTCTTCCTCCTCCTCCTCCTCCTCCTCCTCCTCCTCCTCCTCCTCCTCTGGCCGAGGTGAGACATGAGGCCACTGTCTGCCCGAAGGCCGTGGGACAGGATACCGCAACCCCCGCATAGCACGGATGAGCAACTTCCCAAGGTCACCCTTGCATCGTTCCCCCGTCGGCCCTGTCTGGGCCGCCTTCGCTGGCCGCGTCCCGCTCGCAGAGTGTCGGCATGGTCTTCTGAGGATCCTGCATCCTTGTCGTGCGTCCTTACTATACGGGTTCATGCTAAGTTGTGTCCGTGTACAGATATGCACACATCCATACATACATAAAAACAGACAGACAGACAGGCAAACATACAAACCAACAAACATACATGCATACATAGAGAGAGAGAGAGCGAAAGAGAGGATCGCCATCATATTCCTGGATGGAGTGGCGACGGCAGATGGGGTGGGAGCAGGCTGTTCCGTTCCTGAGCGTTCGGTTCTGAGCGTTGAGAGAGCGATGAGGAAGCGCGCGAGGCCAGTGAAAGAATGAACGAGCCATGCGTTTGGGCTTCAAGCTCGCTCAGCAGTCTCGTGTCCAGCTGCGCCGCCGTGGGCACATCTTCGCCACCGCGCTCTGGGGGGGTGAAGGGTGGCCAGGGAGAGGTGTACATCCAAGCGGCGGCACCGCACCTCGGCGGATATTTGATATATCAGTGTCGAGACCGAGAGTCCTGATAGGAACAGGAGCACATAAAAGCACGAGAAAATATGGCTTCGCATCCGGACAGGCTCAGATGTGTAGAAGGCGGTGTTAAGCATTGAGCGTGGAGGACTAAGCATACCACCAGGTCTTGCGGTTGCCAGTTTGACCTGATCAGGGCGTGATCTCTGCAAGGTTCAGACAATTCGAGGGCCGAGTTTCTGGAATGCGAGTCACTGTACCAGGATGAGCAGGCGGATGCAGGCAATTATATGTAAAGTGTCTGTAGAAGGGGCTTGTTCAGAAGCCGACGTTTTGGAGTGAGTGAGGCAGGAAATGCTAAGTGATACATAAAAGAGCCAGAGATGAAGGGAGAGAGAGAGAGAGAGAGAGAGAGCGAGAGGGAGACACACAGAGGGAGAGAAAGAGAGAGAGAGAGATAAGGTGTGCTCTCCAGAGTGATCGTGGGTCGGGCCGAGGTCGTTCGTTTCCGCTCACTCTGAGGCAGCGGCCTCTATGTCGCCTAGGAGCGCTTGCACGGGGGGACTACATGCCTCCTCCTAGCCGGACTATCTGCTTGTGCCTGTCGAATTCTTGAGTGTCGAGGGAGGTCGCCGAAGGGAGGAGGAAGGGGGTTGACAGGCGGCTCCGGCAAAGGAGGAAAGCAGTGCTCATGCTTCTCGTGGTCCCTCCCTTGCCGCTTCTGGCCGAATACCCTTGCTCTTTTGCGATATTTCCTCATGGTTCTCGTTTCATTCCTGGAGCTTGATGCTGGAGCTTTCCCACGTTTCCTTCCGCATTCTCGGCGCCACGGCGCCACGGCGCTCCGCTCCTATAGAGGCACCGCGCCCTGGCGCGCATACAGTCAACGCGCCTAGTAAGGACGCGCGCCTTCATCTAGGGTACCCTTGTGTCCTTGCCTCTGAGACCCGTCCTTGCCATTATCACTGGTCGCCCGCCGCCCTAAAAAACCCAACTTCGGCCTCCAAGGGTCTTGCATCCTTATCACCCGTCCTTAATACACGTTTGGACTATATCGTGCGAGCGTCCGTCCTCGGGAGAGCCTCTTGAGACGGGGATATCAGTGGAGACGGGGGGTCAGCCAGGGCGCCAGCGGATCCTTGCGAGATCGTGCAAAGCCAGGGCGTTGCACTGACCCAGGCATGCGTGCACGATCCTTCTCCTCCTCCTCTTCCTCCTCCTCCTCCTCCTCCTCCTCCTCCTCCTCCTTCTCCTCCCTCCTCCCCCCCCTCCTCCTCCTCCCCCTCCTCCTCCTCCTCCTCCTACCTGCTCCTCCTCCTACTCCTCCTCCTCCTCCTCCTCCTCCTCCTCCTCCGTGCTCCTCATCCTACTCCTCCTCCTCCCTGACTGACCCGGATTTTGCATGGACTCGGGTCAGTAGAACACCCGACGTCGGTCATGGTTCCTGTCTTGCCCGACGACGGCCAGCTTACGGTCAGAGGGCAAGCTGGCAGCACCACGGCCCCCATCGACTGCATCGGGCGGAGGGGGGGACGGCACCTCACCCTCGGTTCCCATGGCCCTGGGACTGGCCTGAATTCAGGAGGGACAAAAACACACAGACACAATTAATCGTCGACTCCCAGGAAAATATAGGGAAAATATGGGAAGTGGGGGGGAAGACGAAAACCGAGAAAATATGACAAAATATGGGGAATCCTGTTATTTGTGTGTATTTATTTGTGTGTCCCAGGGCCCCTTGAATCCTCCACGAAAGAAGCCAATTGGCGGGGATCAGGTTGATCCCATTGCTCCGAGTCTGCACGTCTGTGTTTTTTTTGTGTTTGTCATCTGCGGCCCTCGACCTGCACCTCCGCAGCAGCTCTCATCTCGTCGGGTGGCGTCTGCACTGCGCGCGCGGCTACGCACACGCGCGCTCTGCCCATGTGTTTTCGTGTGTTGCGTTTGATGCTTGCTCGCCCTTTTCGGGCGAAGGGGAGGGCTCGGTTGACCTCGCAGCGAGATTCGCACCCCAGGCGGACAGTCTGCTCGACACTTCGCCGATTCTCCTCGGCTTGCAGCTCCGTCTTTCGCCGCTTCTTTCTCCCTGCTGTTCGCTCGCCCGCGTGGCCAGGACGACTCGCTCCATGCACGAGGCCTCAAGCCGCCCAGCGAGGGATGGCAGCACGTGATGATGGAGAATGGAGGGCATGGTGAGTCAGGGTCGCTGGGGTGCACGGCCACGATGGTGCCGGTCGTGATCTCTAAGAGTATGGGGAGTCTCTGCGATATCGTGCAGGCGGTATTGATGAGTTGCGTGGGTTCGATGGCGACGATCGGGGCGGTGGTTTAAGAAGTCGCCTGTACCATGGGCACCTCGCCAGCTTTCAGACTCAAGACTTCCAGGCTTTCATATTTTCTCGTTCGGTGTGTCTAGGTCTCTTTGTTCATTCCGCACGTCTGCCTTTATTCAAGGGGGGAAAAACCACCCGGACCAGACAATTGGCGTTTACTAAACGGCCTTGGGCGTTTATTAAACAGCCCTGCCCTGTTCGATTCCTTCAGTGGGGGCGTTCAGCAAACGGCTTCGCGTATCGGGGTGGTCATTATGGGGGTGGGTTTTTTGCCCTCTATTTGTGGCGCTCCCGAGCACAGACGGCTTGATGAAGCTTTTGGGTTTCCGCGGTGATTGTGTCTCGCCGATTCGCATGGAGCTGCCGTCGAGCCTTGCGCGGTCTCGCAGCCGTCAGCTCCACGCGTCCGTCAGCCAGGGCGTGGAGGAAGGCCCGTCGTCCCGCCAGAGGGACCGTGAGCGACCAGGCCAAGCTGGAACGAGCAATCACGCAGCGAAGATCGTGCCCACAGGGTGTCCGGAGCAGGAGCAGAGGCGCGCCAGACTTTGCAGGAGCGCGCGGCGGCGTGCCGCCCCAGGCTGGACGCCCACCAGGGGCAGGAAGCTGGGCACGAAAAGTTCCCCCCAGTCGCCTCGTGCCCTCTCTTCCCCCATCCTCTCTGGACTCCTTCGCCTCCCCCCCCTCCGTGATGGTTCGCATCCCTTGCCATTCTGTCGGCTCGGCTCCGGAGCCTGAACGTGGCCCACAGAAGGCCGATCGGCGCATGGGCGCCGCCGTCGTGAAGCTCTCGTCGAGGTCTAGCTGATTTGGAATGGGCCTCGACCTTTCGGGGGTCGAGGAAAACAGCAAAGTGGTAATAGGGAAGAGTCTGCTTACCCCCCCCCCTCCCCCTGCTCCTCGTTGCCGTCGCCCTCCGGCTCCTCTCCCGCCCGGGCGTGGCCACTCTGCTGGCTGGGCCCGGCCTCTCGCCGTCCCCGCGGCGCCGTGGTCAGGCCGGGACCGGGGGGAGCGGGACCCTCGGTTTCAGTCGGGCCCGTCCCTTTACAGTATACAGGAGGACGATTCAAGAATAGTCAAAAAAATAGTCAGGGGACGATGTTTTGCATATTTGTTGGCCATTTCTGATTTTTTGTGGGAGTGTTCTAGAACTTTTCCTCGAAAATCCCTCCGTGGGGGGGGGGGACAAGCCCGACTTAACCCTCGGTCCACAGAGACTGCGCGCGCGTCGTCGGCCTGGGTTGCGGGCCGCCGCGCGGGCGGCGGCAGGGCAGGGCGGTGCCCCGCCGACTGGCGCGCGGGCCGGCGGAGTCGTCGAGGCCGGGCGCCGCGAGGCGATCGCCCGGCCAGGCCCCGCTGGCGGAGGTCCGAGGCGAGGAGTGCAGGCCGGGCGGCGCGCGGCGGCAGCGGCCGCCGGCCAGGCGCGCGGTGGGGCTGCACGCCCTGCGCGCCCGCAGGTGCCACGGAGGCGGGGGCCCGCTGCGGCGCGTGGCCTGCGGCGGGCGGGGGCGCGGCCAGGCCCAGGCGGGCAAAAGGATCGCGCAGCGAGGGCGCGGGGAGCGGAAGCCTGCGGAGCGCTGCTGCCAGCGAGCTGCGCGACGGCCACCGCGTGCGCGGCGATCGCCCAGCGAGCGGGTCTGCTCGTGCCGAGGGGCACGCCGCAGAGGCTCGAGGAGGGCGCCGACGGCGCTCCAGGCAAGCGGCGGTTGCGCCGGTCTCCGCGACGCCACCGGTGGCCGCGTACCGCGGCAAGCTCCCGGCGCCGCAGGGCCAGCCGATGAGGCTCGCGCAGTGTTTTGCTCCAGCTGCGCAGAGTTATGTCGGGCTACAGGGGGATTTTCGACGAAAAATAAAACATACCCCCAAAATACCCCAAGAAGGTCAAGAACTAGTCACAAAAATAGTCCCCAGACTATTTTTGGATTATTGTTTGATTATGTTTGAGGTATAGATTATTTTTCGTCGAAAATCCCCCTGTGGGGGGACAGGCCCGACCTAAGCGCAGGGGACGCTGCTCTCATGCAAGCGCTCGGGGCGGCAGGGGAGGGGGGCCGCGGGGGCCGCGGCCCGACCAGCAGCTCGGCGGCCGAGGCCCATGCGGCCTGGGCTGGGCGCGCAGCCGAGTGGCAGCCACGGGCGGCTGCGGCCGTTGCCGCCGCGCAGCTGCACTGCGGGCGAGGCCGCGGGAGTCGTCATCTGCGCCCTCGCGGGCCAGCGCCGGGGTTCAGACTTGGGCTCCTCATACGCCGCAGGGCGCGGCTGGGCGTGGGCCGCGTGTCCCTCGATGTCAGGGCGGCGGCGGCGGCGGCGGCGGCTGGGTCCGGAGAGGCGCAGCCTGCGCCGACGGCCGCTGTGGTTGTTGCGACGTAGGCCTGCAGGCTGGTGCAGCAGGTGTGCCCATCTCGTCTGTTGTCTGTGGTTCGTTCGTGCGTCCATCGGTCGCGTCGTCTCTCTGATCTCCACCTCTGGGCGCCTGGTGGCGCGGGTCCTGAGAACATTCACGATCTTGTCTGAACGCGTGCCTCCGCGAATGTTTGCGGCAGCCCTCCGTGCAATTTGCACCAGTTGGGTGACGCGCGGCTGTTTCCAACAGGTGGGGCGATGTGTGCTAGGCTGCCCGCAGGGTGAGGACAGCATCAAACACTACACTGTGTGCTCGTGTTTCCATGGGCTCTGTCAGCGTCACCTAGGGCTGGGCGCGCCGCCGCGGACACGCTGCTTAGGGGATTGCCTGGGGGTGGACCCGTGCCTGCCAGCCGTCCCCTGACTCCGGATCCGCCCTACATTGGCTCTTTTCCAACTTAAAATTGTGTCGGAAATCCACCTATAAGAGGCCGAAAAAGTAGGGCGGAAATTTCTGCACCCAGCATAAAGTGGGGCGGAAATCCACAGAAGTAGGGCGGAAACAGCAACAGAAAAGTAGGGCGGAAATTGGCATCAGAAGTAAAAGGCGGAAATTCCAAGCCCTACTAAGAATTTCCCCAGAGTAGGGCGGATCCGGAGTCAGGGTCCCAAGCCAGCTTGCCGCGGAGGACGCGCGGGAGACATGCACGGCTCTGCGGGCCACTGCCGTGCACCCCTTGCCTCGCTGCCACGGCTCGGCACGGCACAAGGCGACTCGGCGGTGACGTTCCCGGGTTGCCCGGTGGTCTTCTGTCTCACACCGTGCGGGAGCCTCGAGACGGGGGTCCATGGAAACGGGGGGCAGCCAGAGCGCCGCCGGATCTTGCAGGATCCTGCAGAACCAGGGTCGCGCTGGCCCGGGCTTGGGTGCAGGATCCTGCAGGATCTTGCAGGATCCTTCGCAGGTGGCATCTTGCAGGATCCTGCAGGATCTTGCAGGATCCTGCAGGATCTTGCAGGATCTTGCAGGATCTGCAGGTCGCATTGACCCGGGCTTGGGTGCAGGTTCCTGCAGGATGTTGCAGGATTCTGCAAGGCCTGACTGGCCCGGGTCTGGATTGACCCGGGTCCGAAGATCCCCGAACCGTGGAGCCATTTGTGCACGAGGTCTTGAGGTGGAAGGCAAAAATGCCTTCCGCGGAGTGCCGCGACGCGAGGCCTTCCCTGCGTGTGTGAGGGAGGCTGCCCTCGATCATCGCCAGGCGAGCAGCCGTCTCTCGCGCGTCCGCGCTCGGCCGCCCGCTGCGTGTGTGAGGGAGGCTGCCCTCGAGCAGCGCCAGGCGAGCAGTCTCCTGTCGCGCGTCCGCGCTCGGCCGCCGGACGGCGGCGGGGGGGTCTGTCTCGTCTTCTCCTCTCTCTTTCTCTATCTCTCTCGGGGGTGGACAGACCTCCTACCCTGACGCGTCGATGAAGGAATTGGCCGTTTTCGTTTCGCGAGAGGGCCTCGCGGCCGTCCTTTTTGCGGGTCCAGGTCCGTCGGTTTCGGTCCCAGGCCGTTTTCGCTAAGGGGAGGTCTACTAAAGGGAGGTTTGTCCACCGCCGACTCTCTCCGCTGTTTTCTGCACCGTCATTTGCGGTCGTTGCCCAGTGCATCTGTCTACTTCCATGGTGGTTGCACCGTGTCGCTTGCTCGCGCGACGATCTGGAAGCACGCCTCGTGTCTTTAGGGCGCCTGGCGAGGACCCTCGAGGTTCTGCTGTATTCTCCTTTCTTCTCGTCTCCCTTCTCCTTTCTCCATCGTCCCTCCTTCCCCCCCTGCCTCCTCCCTCTCTCACAGGTTGTGGTTTCAACATGTTGGTGACGGCCAGCTGGACGGCATCGTCGACACAGTCGTTTATCCCCCCTCCTTCTTGTCACGGACATGTGGCCGATCGGCCACGTGCACGGCCGTCTCCCTTCCTTCCTCCCCGTCCTCCTCCTCTTCCTGCCTCTTCGGCCTCATCACGTTGTCTTCGATTTCGCCTCCAGTGGGTGGTGGCATCCGCATGCTGGCACCAGCTGTGGAAGCACCTTGTCCGCTCCCATCTGCTCCCTCCAAGACAGCCCCGGGGCCCCTCTTGCGCTGGCAGAGCAAAGCAGTGCCCATCATGCTCCTGGTGTTTGCCGCGCGATGGCCTTTGTGCACCATCGGGCGTCGGCGCCACTCCTCGGGCGGCCCGGCGTTCCCCGCCGGTGTGGACGCCGCGTCGGCCACGGCGCGCTGGAAGCGCGCGCGGCAGGGGCCCGCGGCTGCCGCGCGGGTGCTGCGCCGCCGCCGCAGCTCCGCAGTTCTGGAGGCCATCTTGGGGACACAGTGCGCCTCGGAGTCCTTTGCGAATGCTCGTCAGCGATGCTTGCAAAGTCAGGCCTCAGTCGGTGGAGACGCCGTCTGGATCCGCAAGGGATCCCAGTCCAGTCTGGCCCTCTCGGGGCCTCTCCCCCTCCCGGCGCTTGGGGCAGCTTTGGGGAGCTCCCCTGGGAACTCCTGGCGTGTGCTGGGCTCTCGCGTGGCCGTCGCCTCCCCGTCGGCTTCCCCTCGACCTGCCTCTTCCGCACTTGCTGGCGGCCACCGTCGAGGCCGCAGCGGCGGCCGCCGCGGCCGCGTCGCGGTGGCAGCTTCCACGACGACAACGAGACGCGACGACGGCGGTGGCGGGCGGCGCTCCCGCCCTCTCCGCGGCCCGGCAGCACCGCGGCCCCCAGGGCAGCCAGTCGATGTCCCGCAGCGGCGGCAGCAGCCGCGCAGGCCCCGCCGCCTGTTGCATCCCTGCCCCCTCCCGCTCCTCCCCGCCGTCGCCGCCACCGCCGCCGATCCATCCCTGTTCAGGCCGCCTCCCCGCGCCCCGTCGCCTCCGACCCTCCCCCCGGCCTCTCGCCCGCTGCCTCCCGGGCTCCTCGTCCGCCCCTCCTTCCCGCCGCTCTCCTCCCGCCTCCCCCCCCCCCAGCGCGCCTCCTTCATCCCCTCGCTCGAGCTTCCCACGCCGTAAGGCCCCCCGCGCAGGCCGGCGGCGGCCCGTCTCCTGCCAGGGACGTCTCTGCGCCCCGTTCCGCGCTCCCCCTCGCCAGCGCCTCCCCCGCCCTTCCGCTCCGCGCTCCCGCCCCCCTTTCCCTCCCTCGCTTCCCTCCTATCCTAGGGGAACAAAAAGTGGTGTCATCATAAAAACTCGGAGGTCCGCGCGGATTTCTCGGATCGGCGCTGGACCCCCCTCCCTGGCGCGCGGAGGGCGCCAGGGGCGGCGCTGGAGGCGCCGCCGAGGGGCCCCAGCGCCGGTCCGAGAAATCCGTGCGGACCTCCGAGTTTTTATGTTGATGCCACTTTTTGTTCCCCCATATCCCCCCTTCTCCCCCCCTCCCTCCCTGACTCGCGTGGTGTTTCACCGTTTGTTCCTCGTCGAGTTGCGCACGCTCGCCTTGTTCCAGTCGTGCTCCCTCGTCCCTTTCCTGTCTCGGCGCGCTCGGACCCGACGTGGTGGTGCCCCCCCTCTCCCCCTGCACGTCTTGCGAGGCCACGGCCCCGAACTGGGTAGTCGAAGGCCAGACTGGCAGATTGGATTGGGCCCCAAGGGCCAATCTGGCCTGGCCAAATTGGAGGATTTGGGTTATTCGCCAGGCTGGATTCGCGTTGGCTCCCTCCCCAGATTGCCCCCGTTTGCCAGATTGGGCCTGCTCGATTGGCGCCAGATTGGCTTCGACTGCCCAGACGAAGCGGAGAGATCAGTCCCTGAATCCAGCGAAGACTGAGCCTGGTCACAGGCCCAGAGGTGGACACCAACACCAAGATCGGCGGCGTGCCTCCACCTCGGGAAGAAGATCCCGATCTCGGTGACGGTGGTAATATTATGGCCTCCAGGGGGACCGAAGAATTGCCATCAACAGCGAGATCTAGGACCCTCTTCCCCCTGTGGAGGCACCCCCTGTGTTGGCGTTGGTGCCCATTTCCAAGCCTCCAACCTGGAGGCGCACTGCCTCCTCTTGCGGGGAGTTGCCCTGCGACTGGCACGCCCGCACGAACGGAGGTGGTGACCGGAGCTCCTGTGGACTGTGCGCACCGCTGCTGCCGCGGCGGCCCTGGGCCTCGGCGGCCAGCCCGGGGGGGAGGTGGGGCAGGGAGGGGGGGAGAGAGAGGAGAAGGAAGAGGAGGAGGAGGGGGAGGAGGAGGAGGAGGAGGAGGAGGAGGAGGAGGAGGAGGAGGGAGGAGGAGGAGGAGGAGGAGGAGGAGGAGGAGGAGGAGGAGGAGGAGGAGGAGGAGGGAGGAGGAGGAGGAGGAGGAGGAGGAGGAGGAGGAGGAGGAGGAGGGGGAGGAGGAGGAGGAGGAGGAGGAGGAGGAGGAGGAGGAGGAGGAGGAGGAGGAGGAGCTCTCTCAGAAGGCTCAGAAGTCCTCCAGCCTTCTGAGAAGTTGTCCTAAGCCTTCCCCGAAGACCCAGAGCACGTGTGAGGAGGCCAGGGGGCTTCTGGGAAGCCCCGCCGCCTCCTGAGAAGGCCTCCTCCTTCTCTTCCTCCTCCTCCTCCTCCTCCTCCTCCTCCTCCTCGCTTCCCTCCCCCCCTCGCTCAACGCCTAACTTCACTAGGGTTGCCCCCCCCCTGCCCGTCGTCCGACCGCGGCTCTCCTCTCCGTCGCCGCCGCCCCCCCCCTGGCCCTTGTTTCGACCCCCCTTCTCCGCGCAGGCGAGGTGCTCGGCGCCGCGAGGTCGTCCGGCAGCCAGCCGTCGGTGTCCTATCGGCGGGGCGGGGGAGGGGGCCATGGGAAGGGGGAGGAAGAGTAGTAGGAGGAGGAGGAGGAGGAGGAGGAGGAGGAGGAGGAGGAGGAGGAGGAGGGCGGACCTGGAGGGCGGCTAGGGGTTCGACGCGACGCCGCCGAAGCTCAGTGGGGGCGCGCGCGCGCGGGTGCCAGCACAGACCGGACTTCGGCGCTCGCAGGAGGAGGAGGAGGAGGAGGGAGAGGAAGAGGAGGAGGAGGAGGAGGAGGAACATGAGGAGGATGAGCTGCTGCATGCCTTGCGACATGTGACGCTCGCGAGTGAGGTGATCATCTGCAAAGATTGTCAAACCGTCATGGACGTCTGGGGTCGGGGCCCGAGTGCGGAATTGAGTGATGTTGCTTTCTCGGAGTTGTGGGTGCTCGTATGGAACAGCGCCGAGGAGATCGGGGTCGGGAGACTGTAGGAAGACTAAGAGTCATGCTTCTTCGTCTAGGATCCTGGCCTCCTCTGAGGCCCCGCACTGGGCTTGGAGGGGAAATGATGAAGCCGATGGTCTTGCTAAGCGCGGTGCGGCCATGCGCCCCCCGAGGCTCGCCATGCTTGCCCACGTTTGCCACAGCCGGTGGGCCACGTTTGCCAGGCTGACTTGGTGTAGTCGACGTGCTGCTTTCGGGTCTGCGCGGTTGAAGCTCCTTGGGGCGCCTTGTTCTGGACCCCACCCCAACCGTGCTGCGATGCAGACCCTTCAGCAGCTGGAGGCGGAGAAAGACCCATCCAAAGCGTCTTGTGGGGATGCGCATTCCGCTGCCAGCGGCGGCGGCGACCCAGGGCCGATCAGGTACCAATCGCGGGTGGCGTCCCCTGTTCTCTTTTCGTGGCCGTCGTTGGTCGCCAAGTGCCGCGTGGCTCTCGCATGGAGGGACGTGGCCGCCCAAGGACCGAAGGATCGAAGGAGGAGGGGCAGGACGCGGATGGGTAGAGGATAGGGAGGAGGAGAGGGAGGAAGAGGAGGAGGAGGGCGCGGAGGAGGTTCAGGTGCAAGAGGAGGTGGGGGATGAGGAGGATGTGGACGAGGAAGAAAGATGAAGGAGCAACAAAAGGATGATGAGGAGCAGAGGGTGGTTGAGGAGCGTTCATCAGCGATCCCGTTTGGGCGTGACCACTATCCGCGCTCAGGCTGTCAGTATGAGGGTGATGAGGCCGCCGCAGCCGTTGCCTCCGCCTCACGATACTGGATGTTTTAGGTTCTAGGTCGCCTTTGGGGGCGCGAAGATACTCGCGCTTCTCGCGTCGCGGCAGGGCCAGAGCAGCTGACGCCTCCAAGTGGGCGAATCGAGGCCGTGAGGGCGCGAAGAAAATCGCGCATCGCAGGAACGATGCGCGAAATTGGGAGACATAGATTTGTAAGCGTCGACTGGAATACGCCCAGCCCTTCCAATGGTCATAGGTAGCGCATCCGACCCGTGGGTTGGTGCGCGGACTTCAGGAGAACGCGACATCGTAGCGTATGAGTATGTTGCAACCCTGCGGGAACTCGCGGTCACCGTTGATGTGCCACTGTTTTGCGGGTGTTTGATACGTATATGCGTTGGCCCTCGTGGGCCCCGGGCTGTGTGTTTCTAGCAGTCGATGTTGTGAATTCAATGTCGTGGAGCAGCATATGTGGTGCGTTATGCGTGGTGCACTTTTTTTTCAACCCGCGCTGTGCAACATATGTGGTGAATTCTATGTTGTGTAATTCACTTTGACCGTCTTGAAGCTGTCCTCTCCACTGCTCGTGCAAACATCCCACCCTCCCACCCGCAACTTGGTCGCAAGACCTCTTGGCCACGACACCGACGCCGACGACGACAGCGACAACGACGACGACGGCGCCGCCGACACCGACTACGACGACACCGACGACGTCTCCAACGACTTGGACGACGACAACGACGACGACGACGTCGACACCGACGACGACGACGCCGACGACGACGACGAGGGAGGAGGGAGGGCGACGACGGCGACAACGACGACAACGACGACAACGACGAGGGAGGAGGGAGGACGGCGACGACGCGAACGACGAAGAAGGAGGAAGGACGGCGACGCCGACGACGACAACGAAGAGGGAGGAGGGAAGACGACGACGACGACGACGACGACAACGACGACGACGACGAAATTGGAGGGACGACGACGAGACGCCAACGACGGACGACGACGACGACGACTCGGGAGGAGGAGGAAGGACGACCACGGCGACAACGACGACGGAAACGACCACGATGCCAAAGAGGACGACGACGACGAACACGAGGAAAGACAGAGGACGACGTAGGCGACGACGACGACGACGCGGGAGGAGGGAGGGCGACGACGACGACGACGACGACGACGACGACGACGAAAGAGAGCGCGCACGCTTTTGTTGAAAATCTTTGTTGCGAAACCTTGTGTTTTTGTAGGTTTTTTGGGCACACGATTTTGAAATCCTTCCGAAACCGATGGGTTTCTTCAGGATTTCGGCGTACGCGCGCGACGACGCGCGCGTCTGCACTTCGTCCTTTTTTTGCAGAGGATTCTCGCGACGGCACACGCGCAAGGGCGTTCGACAGATTTCGACATGAGCGCGCGACGCCCATTTGGTACCATTATGTGGAAATCTTGAACAACCAATGGTTTTAGCAAGATTTCGCAAGAGCTCGCGCGGAAGCTTTTTTAGCAAATCCGTGTTACGAAACCTTGTGTGTTTATATCCTTCCGGCACCGAAGGTTTTTGAAGGATTTCGGCATGCGCGCGGCACGACGCGCGCGTGTGCACTTCGTCCCATTTGTTGCGAGGGATTTGTGGAAAAATGCTATGTTAGAACCACAAATGTCACCGCATAGTGTTTTTTACACCGGAACCTCAAGGGGGGGGAGACCGGTTGGCCTGGGACACTGTGATTTCATATTTAGGATGGACACGTGGTCAGAATCATGTGTGATTTACATGCCCGAAAGGGGGGGCGATAACTCCGGGGGGGTAGAGTCGATTGTCTTTTTAGTCACTTTGACCGTCTTGAAGCTGTCCTCTCCACTGCTCGTGCAAACATCCCACCCTCCCACCCGCAACTTGGTCGCAAGACCTCTTGAGACAAGACCGCGACGGCAGGTACCAGATGGCATTTGGCCACGACACCGACACCGACGACGACAGCGACAACGACGACGACGGCGCCGCCGACACCGACGACGACGACACCGACGACGTCTCCAACGACTTCGACGACGACAGCGACCACGACGACGACGACACCGACGACGACGACGCCGACGACGACGACGATGACAACGACGACGACGACGCCGACGACGACGACGCCGACGACGACGACGACGAAGACAACGACGACGACGACAACGACGTCGCCAACGAAACGACGACGAGGGAGGAGGGAGGACGACGACGGCGACAACGACGACAACGACGAGGAAGGAGGGAGGACGGCGACGACGCGAACGACGGAGAAGGAGGAGGGACGGCGACGCCGACGACGACAACAACGAGGGAGGAAGGAAGACGCCGACGACGCAAGAGCCCGCGCGCACGCTTTTGTTGAAAATCCGTGTTGCGAAACCTTGGGTTGTGGAAGGTTTTTTGGACACACGATTTTGAAATCCTTCCGAAACCGATGGTTTTTTTTAAGGATTTCGGCATACACGCGCGACGACGCGCGCGTCTGCACTTCGTTCCTTTTTTGCAGAGGGTTCTCGCGACGGCACACGCGCACGGGCGTTCGACAGATTTCGACACGCGCGTGCGCGAAGCCCGTTTAATAGCATTTCGTGGACATATTGAAAACCGATGGTTTTCTTAAGATTTCGCAAGAGCTCGCGCGGAAGCTTTTTTAGCAAATCAGTGTTGCGAAACCCCGTGTTTTTGTATGTTTTTTTTTTGGGGGGGGGGAAACTCGATTGCGAAATCCTTCCGGCACCGAGGGTTTTTTGAAGGATTCCGGCATGCGCGCGCGACGACACGCGCGTGTACACTTCGCCCCATTTGTTGCAAAGGATTCGTAAAAGAGTGTTATGTTAGAACACGATGTCTCCGTATAGTGTTTTTTCAAGGGAACCTCAGGGGGGGATTCCGGTTGGCCTGGGACGTTGCGATTTCATATTTAGGGTTGACATGTGGTCAGAATCATATGTGATTTACATACCCGAAAAGGGGGGGCGATAACTCCGGGGGGGGTCGAATCGATTCTTTTTTTGGAAAGGAGAATATCGGATAATATACGTGTTGCAATATATGTGGTACAAACTACGTCGTGCAATTTATGCTGTGCCGTCCATGTGATGCAACCTGCGTGGTGCAATCCACCCTGCCGAACTTGAAGTTGACCACTGCTCGCGCAGTACCCGCTCCCCCACACGCAACTTCATTTGTAAAACCCATGCGGCGCGGTTGCGATGACTGCTTGGCGCTGGCTGGCGCAACGTTGCGGCCGCTGTAGCGCGCGCAGGCTCGCGCGCAGAGCGGCCAGCTAGTCTGGCGCAGCCGACGCGGCCGCAGTGGCGCTGACCGTTGAGTACTCTTTCAGCGCGTCTAGCAGGTCGCGCGGACACGCGAGCACTTCAGGGCGAGTCGGTGATTCGGTTGGGCGCGGTGTCATGGCGACGTCGACAGTAGCGTGCACGATGCTGGCTGTAACGATGTTGGTGGTGTCGATGACGATGACGACGGCAGGGCCAACAACGGCGCCGATGCTGATCACGCCGATGACGATGAAGGTGTCCAAGTGCCGGTGATATAGGTTTTGGAACGAATTCGAGATGCGCGCGGGGCCGACGGGCGGGAGTTACCCGCCTTGTGTCGTTTGAAAGGGATCGCGCCTCGCCCCCCGGCACGCGCGCAAGGGCGTTCGAATGATGTCGACTTGCGCACGCGAGAGGCCCAATCGGTCGCACGCGATTTTGGAAAGAACGTGTTCTACCGCTGCTGGCGGGAAGCCGGAGGGGGTCACTTGGGGTTCCCAACCCCGTCCCCCCCTTT